AAAATCTGAAGTTCTACAATATGTCATAATTAAAAAACACACTTGTAACTAAATTCAAAGTTGTGACTTCAAGGAAAAATTAAAATGCTCTTGTGACCTTCTCTTGAGGAAGTGTTCAGAGTCATAACGGGGTGAACAGTAAGTTTCACATTTTTGTACCGGTGCTTCTGGTATATCCAGCACAAACTATTCCATTTTTTAACATGATTAAAATTGTCTGGTTCTTGATTAGAAGCCTGTATAAACATACACCTAAAAAATATTTGGATCCATGGAGCGTTCATTATACCAGGCTGTATGGTTCATCAATTTGGTAAAAACTATTAGCAAGCCAGCCAAATTTGACCACTAGTAATTTACACTGTCCAGTTTGGCTTAATTCAAGCAATATCAGCAAATTGTAATCCTTAGCAAACAGTAAGCATTATTCATCCCATTAGCAAAATGAATAAAAGCAATCTTCAAGTATCAGATAAATGTGATTGTTTTGAGCTCCCTTTTCTAATTCAGACCACAGTCAGGACACAATTCAAACCTTTCTATAATTTTTTTCTGTGAATTTTTCTTGCGTAGTGCCACATTAGACTCATTCTCCTTAAAGCCAGCAGTGGATATCTCATCTGCTTATCCACGAAAGCACTTGCAGGAACTATCAAGAGGTTGTCAAGAGGCAGAGGACGTCACAGTCTATAAGGAGCAAAATATTGCTTCCCTTGCAGATGGCACCCAGTTTTATCTCAGCGAAACACCAGCTTCTAATCAATGTTGTTAAGAAATCTTACAGATCAACAGCTGTATGTCTCGGGTTTCTGTAAATCTGACACAGTTGGAGGCAAAGCCGTAGTGAGAATTAATTTTGTCTGCCATTGTCAGCCTGGGTACAAATAACTGAATGCCTGGATATAAATGCCTGATATGAAGTGCCTTTGTAACATCTCTCCTGAAATACTTTGCTCTTAGTACTTCTGCCTACATGATATTTTAAAAACTAAGGTGCATAAAATATTCACTATCACTTTAGATGGCATCGAAGGAAACCAAAGTCAGCTTAATGAGACTTAAAAAAAATGGCAAAAAAGCCATGACCATCTTAGTTGTATGCGTTGCAGGTGGTCAGTGCTGGTCAGGTCCTGGGTATGGGTTATCAACCATCCGAAACAAGCAGCAAAGCAATTGAGAATCATACTTTTCTTTCCTTTTACTACTCTTTACTATTTAGTTTCGGTAGAATTAACAAAGCAGAGGTCAGGAGCTGTTCAGCATTCGCATACATTGCCAGTCAAAACACTCCCCTATTAGCACCAGTGTCTGGATTCAACTTTGAGAAAGTTTTGTTTTCTTTAAAATTGCCTTGAGGCAAAAACAAAACACATAAAGTGCAAGCCAAATAAGTTAGCGTTTCAGAATATTCAGTATATGAAAATAGCTGGATTTTATAACAGAAGCTGCCCACTGTTTTTGATAAGAGACAAAATTGCTGTCTGAGCTTCAAATGTCTCATCTAGAATTAAATCCAGGAAGGTTTCCTCTACTTTAGCTTTTTTTCAAAAGTTTTATAAGTCTGTGAACTTCAGCTAGAAGCCAATGAAAAGGAGTAAAATAACTCCAAAGGAGAAAAATACTTTGTTCCTGAAATCCAAGGACAAGCTTGACTATACATATGTAGAGAAAAATTAGGCTATTCTTGGTTGGGGGAGTGGTTTGGGGTGTGTGTGTGTTTGTCCCCTCAGATAGGTATATTGAAAGTATAATGCTAACTTAGTCAGATTTAGTTCACAATAACCTCACCAAGGCATTAGGTTTGCTGTGACATCCTCAGCTTAAGAGAGAAACTACATTTTTTCTCTATGGCACTAGACTTCTTTATGGTAATCATTGTGCATGCTTTATTGCCCATTTTCATGGATAATTCAAAACCTGGGCATTCTTGATTTAAAACAAGCTTATTCTAATCTCATTCAAAAGGTTTTATGTCATCTTGTACAACTTTTTCTTTGAAGGATGGAAGGGTATGAAGATTTACAGTTTGACATCCTGCTCCAGCTGCTCTGCTGGGAGCTGACAAACCATTTATTGCCATCCCTGGGAGTGGTGTGAAGAACGCTTCCTTCCCTGGATGAATTTGCCCTTGGTGGCTTTCAATACCATCTCAGTAAACCCTGTCCCACAGTACAGTTGTATGTTCACCTTTCTCCCTTTTCCTGGGAAGAAACTCTTAATGTAAGCTAGGATGAATACTGGTTTTATAAAAGGCACAAGCACCAGATCCATGTGCTTCTTGTATATTTAAAAAGATGGTTCAAATGGCAAAGAGTAATGCCTGAACCTTGTTGATTCTTTTTTTTTTCAAATGGGTGGATTTAATTCTCCTTTTTTATTGATGGTTCTAGTTTTACAGAATTACATGCTTACATGATTAATACTCTTGCTGTCTTATGATTTTGTGTCAGGAAAATACATAAAAAGAGTTTAAAGACTGATAAAAACACATTTTTCATCACAGACAGTAACTGCTACTTACATTGACCTTGAGGACTTTCCTAAACTAATTTTAATCTTAATACCACCTACTCTGTTTATTAAAATAATAATAACCAGTACTTGTCTCCCTTCTTTTCATTCCCTCTCTTTCCGATAACACAAATGAAATACCATGTCTACCTTGCAAAGCCCCTTTTCAGTGGTTCTCTTTCTTTTAAGTAATAACTTTGATCTTCATTGCACAGCTTGAGGGTGTCCAAATTTAGCAGACAGTGTTTTTTCATATTAATTGTACTGACAAGAAGCCTGTATTTCCCATCACCTTTGCAGTGTGGGCAGCAAATATGGCCTTCTCCCCTTTTAACCAGTATATTTGGACTTTGTTTAAGGGCACTGTACCGAAAGTTGATTGCAGCAATAACTGAAAAGACACGTGCTATTAAGTCTGTATTGCTGTTTATTTTTACTGTTTATGTTCCTTTAATTTCTGTCTAACAGAAAAGTCAGTATGTTGCTGTTTTGCCTCACAGCCTTTAGCCAGCCAAAATGGTTAAACTGGCTGAAGTTCACTGATTTTTTAACTGAATTCCCCTGAAATAAAATGAATGAGTGTGATTAAGGGTTGGAACTCCTAAATGCTAGCGAAGTAGGAACCGGCAGCAGATGTCACTCAGTAAAGTAGACCGTCTCAGCAGATGGGCAAATATGAAATGTAAAGGCTTTTCCTGACATCATTTCGTTTTAATATGATAGAAATAAAATGCCTTGTCAGTAAAATATAACCAGACAGTTGCTTTCTAGTCATTTTGGGTACATGGTTGGTAATTCAAAGTCCTGCTGCCTTTGCAATATTAATTATTCTGTGCCTCGTTACAGCAAGAATACATGTCAGACCAGCTGAACGCACCGCACGCAGCTGGGGCGGCTCAGAACTGTCTGCTCCTCTATTTACAATTTAACATTAGCAAAAGCTACAAGAAAGTAACTTTGTGGGTCGCTTCCATCATGCTAGCTGATGTATCTGGCAAAATTAGAGAGATGGGGTTTCATCCAATGTTTTGGAGTGTATTTCCCCCTACAGAGGTGTGCGACGTGTATCTCAGGGTAGGAAAGCAGTTCTGGAGAGCTGAGAGCTGTGAACAGGACCTGCCTCAGGGGAGCTGGGGCTGCAAGCAGTGCACTTCATGATATATGTTCCCATTAAAATGTGTAAGCTGTTCTCCTGTACAAGTGGTTAACACCTTTTTAATCAGGCCATTTATTTCTTTACAAAAATAAGTACCCCAAGGTGGAAAATGGTAATATTTTATGGTCAGCAGTTTCCACATGTATCTAAATATATTTCCATATGTTTATGTATATTTTAAAAATGTATATACACAATTTTCAGTGTGCCTGAACATGTCTGAAGCACAGATAAACATAACATACTACTCTTAACACACGTAATACAAACCTCTACTGTGAGCAAAGCTGTAATACTCTCTCAGTAGCATCCTGGTGCCATCCGAGGTTTCGGAAGGCAGCCGATGGCTGCTGCTTTGAATCTCACATTTCAACTGCTTCTGAAGTAGAAATCTTTGGAGCACACTGTAGGATTCGTCTATATCACTGGGTGTTGAATCTTCTGAGCTGGATGAATTTTCTGGTGTCTGAAGAAAAATAGTATTTTTAAGGTATTTAATTACCACTCAGGTTGTTCACCATGTTTTCTCGGTTGAAGTTTTCAGTCCCAGTTTTTGTTGTTTTGACTGTCCCCTTTATTAATTGTTAAGCTCATCTTTTGTGACAACACCCAGAAGGGACCCCTTTTATAAATTAAAAGTAAATATATTACCCTACCTTGCAGGGATGCCATAAGGCTTAATTAGTTCGTTTTTGCAAACTGTTCTGAGATTCCCAGATCAGCATCAAATGTTTATTATTAATTATAGGCTCTAGTGAGTATATTGGATAATTTCTTAATTTAATTCTCTTCAGGCATCCTTAAAATAACTAATCTTTAACGTCTTTATTTTTTAAAATTCTTAAAGCACATTTGTTCTTGGCTCAAGTAATTCTGTAGACATTTTTCTATCACTTACTGTATTTTTAGTTCTAGAAATCTTTTTAATTTATATATAGCAACATGAAAAACAGCCTTTTACTGTTTTCCCTGTGAGTTCTGCTGTGTGGATTTTTCTCTAATAAGAAGGTTTTGTTTAAACATTATATGGTGCATTTTTTTCCTGCAGTGGGGGGTGTTAAGTAATTTACTTGGCTTCCCTTGGGAAATTTGCAGAGATTACATGGCACTGCTGTGATTTATCATTTCTACTTTATTTCTGACTCATAAAGCATGCATTATTTTGTGTTTACCTTCAGCAACAGATCACAGGAAATTTCATCATCAATCAAAGTGCTTTAAAAGGGGGAGAAGTGATGATGTGACAAAGGCACTGTCAGCAGCTGTGGTTATTGGAGGATCATTTATTGCTTCATTGTGTCGTAACACTTCTCATTTTATTGCTTTTTCCCAGGATCGGGTTCATGTCGCTTTAGTTACTCAGATCCCAGCATCACCGTGTCCTACAGTAAGAACAGTTCTGCAGATTGGACTCAGCTGGAGAAAATTAGGTTTGTTACAGCTTTTTAATAATTTTCATGCTTTCTGGCTGAGCAGGTGGTGTTTATACCTGGCTCTTTTAAAACTTGTTTTAATTGTTAACATTTCAGTTCTTACTTGTTCATACACATGAAGAGATGAAATGAAGGGATGAAATGGTGATCACTAAAGTTAATTGCTGAACTGCCACTCAGTTTGGTAAATCATAGTTTCATCCATCAGTTATGTGGGAGGTAAGGAAAAGAAGGACTTAAAAAGAAGGAGTTAAAATGCAACTCCAATAACCAGCAAGTTCAGGTGCCTGAAAAAAACAAAGCTTTGGTGACATCTGCATTTTATCATCACTTTTAATGTCAGCAAGAGCCATAATTTATAGTGTTGCAATTTTCTACTGTGGTAGGATAAAACCTTCAATAAAAATAGTTTATAGTTTGATATGAACACTTAGCTCTGGACACTCTTATAATAACAAGATTATAGGGAATTGTGCCTTGGTTTTTAAACAAACTGGTTTACATGAAAGCACCAAGGATTATGTATGTGGATTTTAAAACCTTTTGTTGTAATATGCAGACCTTTAAAGAAAGAGTCAGTATTGGAGATGGATTAAATGACATTGGGAAAGGTATTTTGTGCATTGCTATATATACATAGTTATAGAAGTACAATTGGGGAAGAAAACATGTTTCTATGTAGTGTCCTCATAGCATCTCAGTCTGCCTTCCCACATTACCTTAGTGTCTGTGCCACACCAGCAATTTGCTTGAGCGTATTTTCAGTCCATTGAGACAATTTGCAGTGCAAAACTACTTAATTTCTGATAGGCAAGCAAAGCTCTAGCTGCAAGGCTGTGGATTTTGGTACCTCATTCTCCCACTGTAGTTGCCTCAGAGTAACCACACAACCCTCTCCCCACCCGCCTTCCCCCCACCTTGATGCAAAATCATATACCATCAGCTCAGTCACCCTCATAGCTCTGCAAGCCAGGAAACTTAAGAGTTGTGATGGTACGAACACAAGCTCTTCAAAACTATTTTTTTTAAGTTAATGCATATACAATTTGATCTGTGCTGCTTTTACTTTGAATGCTGGAGTCGGCAGTAGAAAATAGGTCAATAGAGCAATGTGGTGCAAAGTGGAGAGGATGAATTATGAAAGGATGCTCATTTCTCCTGCGGTCTGTATGAATTACAGTAGTTATTTAAATGTGCTTCAGTGGCTTTCACTGAACTACATGCAGCTCCAGGGAATGGTGGGAGAATGGGGAGAGGTGGGACAGGAGGGCACCTGTGAAGGGAAGGTGTTGTGTCAGGGGGTGCTGTGTCAGGGAGTGTTGTGTCTTGGTGTGTTGTGTCTTGGGGTGTTGTGTTGGTGGGTGTTGCATTGGTGGGGTGTTTTGTCAGTAGGATTTCAGCTCTGGATTCCCAGGAGGTATGAGAAGGATCTTGCGGGGAAGGTGGGTGCTGTGTGTGGGCTCAGGGAGAAATGAGGACAACGTCTCAGAGCAGCATTGTAGGGGAGGGTGACAGACGAAACATTTAGCAAGTGCAGGATGATTTGTGGGAGCAGTTTCTGGGTGTGAATATGGGTCAAATATGGTTGCTTTTCAACATTTCATTACACTAGTGTTTTGCTTTACAAAAAGAGTTCCTCTATTTTCTCCTGTATAAGCAAGCTATTGGTGGCTTTTTTCTTTAGGAGCTCTGGGTCCTTTCTGACAAACTATTCACCCACCAAAGCATCATTGCCAAGGCAGAGGCAAGGTTGAGTAGCTGGCATCTTACAAACCCCAATTTCATACCTCCTTGCAGCCTGAGGTTTGAATGTAGCTAATTCCCTTGCTGGATGATTAATAAAACAAAAATAATAATTCTCAACATCCCTTTGTTGCACACAGTGTCCTTTCTTTGCAACTAGCAGTGTAAAGACGTTCACCCAGGGCTTGGAGGGAACCTTTCACAGCTCTGAGGACAGCTTTGGGAAGCAGAGCTCAAGATCACTGCCTAATACGAATAGTAATACTCCAGGTCTTCCTTTCCTCCCCACGTTTTCGATGTGCAGCAACAGGAGAGAGGGCAAATGGGTTGTTGCTTCTGCATTATTATTGAAGCAGAATATGGAAAGAGGGGCAGTCTGACCCTCCCCATCCACAGAATTAGCCTGAGAGCAGGTGTGTGGGATTGGAAGGACGCATTGGTCAGAGAAAATTCTCACCTTTTCTGCTCCATCCAGATCTATAAGGAACTGTGTGTTGCGAAAACAGGGAGATAAATCTGGTCTTGTGAGGCCGGCACCAAATATGTGACAGACGCAAGTTGGGAAACAAATAGTAATCGTTTATTTACAGCAACATTTACAGGTTCTTTTGGATTGCTGGTGATAAATTGAAAAGCTACGGGTACACTAAAGGTTGTATAACTAATATAATACCAAAACCAATGCACTATGAAACACAAACACTAACAACAACAAAAACAACAACTTGGCCACAGTAAGCCTGGCTGCCTGGCAAATAAACAAGCCCATTCGAACAGAAATACCATGGAGCAAAACCAGGAATACACTCGAGGAATCCTAGAAATGAACCTGAGGAGAAATATAAAGTACACTCAGGGAATATGAACCTGAGGATAAAATATATCACTCAGCGTTAGCTGAGGTAAATAATCTTACCCACAAGGTTACCCAAGTGATGGAGCGAATTCGTCAATCTGTCCAGTCCATCAGTATGGTTCCGAGTTCATCCTGTCCTGCTTTTGGGGCTGAAATTGGGGTGATATTTATACTCAAATTTCTGCATTACATCACCAGGCATAGGTGTGGGTGGGGATGACTACAGACAATCTTATCACTTATGTTAATGTCACGAAGTCCATTAATTCACGCCTGCATGGGTAGAGGTAATGGCTCCATTGTTTGGGGCAGAAAGAAATGGGGGACTGGGACCATGAGGCCTCATCTCACACTCCTCCAGGCATCCAGATAACACCAGCTATGGATCTAGTGATGGTTATCACCTCACCCAGTGCTTAGCACCTCCAGTGCTTGCCACCTCGTCCAGTGCTGAGTTTCATGCTTCCAGGCATGCAGCTATATGATGTACATGACTTGGACTTTGCTCGCTCTCTCTCTACGCTGGGGTACCAGAATTCAGGAGTTTCTTTTGATGAAAGCTTATTTTTGTAAAATGCTCCCTTAATATTTCCTTTTGACCATACCTACAAAATACCTGACAATGCCCAGTCACCTGGGAGATGTGACCAGCATCGAGCATGAATGTTGCCCAGCTTTTTCTTCCTGCACTCCAAAGTCAGCATTGATCTGTTATTTATTGCCTAAGCTAGCGCTGTCTTTGAAGCAGGGCTGCCTTTGCTGGGTCTGTATGTGCACTGCCTGGCACAGTGGGACTCTGCCTCAGGGCAGGTGTTTTCTGATCTTCACGGAAGATTTATCAACATACAGGGGATGTCAACACAACTGTGTCACACCTAGTAAATGTGTTAAATGAGGGTAAAGTGTTCCTAGCTAAAACTTGGTCTAATTCCATATCGTTGTTTTTCAGCGCTCCTTCCAACATCAGCACGATCATCCACATCTTGTACCTTCCTGAAGATGCTAAAGGGGAGAACGTCCATTTCCAGTGGAAACAGGATTATGTTCATGATGGTGATGTGTATGAAGCCTGCTGGGCACTGGACAACATCCTGATCATAAATGCTGCTCACAGAAAAGTGGTTTTAGAGGATAATCTTGATCCTGTGGATACTGGCAACTGGCTTTTCTTTCCTGGAGCCACAGTTAAGGTTAGTCTGATTTTCTATGGCTTAATGTTATTACTATTGTGTCTACTCTTGTATGTAGAAGACAACAGTAACATCTAACCAAACTCTGAACACACAAGGGTGTTTAGGCCACTCCATCTGCTTCTAGAATTAGGCTCTTTTACATTGTTTTTACCTTTTCTCTGTCCTCTGGTGCTTTCTAGAACTATGCAACTTCTCTGCCATGACCAAAACCAAATGAGGTTTCTACTCTCATGTCAAAGATCATATAACAGAAAATGGGAAACAGCTTTTGTTAGCACAACAGTGTGATATTTTTGAAACAAATTCAAGTTTCTCCATTGGGTAGTTTGAAATCTACTTGTTTGTTTACTGCTACTTGCTTTATCACAAACCATCACAAATATATAGTTTCCCACTTTTTCTGACTGCGAATATAACATCTCCATTGCAGCATGCATTCAGGAAGTGGCTGCTCCTTAGAAGTCTCCTTCTCAGTAAGCTCCTGTTTTGATATATGAGGTCTAGCAAGATCATACAATTTTGGGAAAAACTCTATAAGGAGCCCTACAAGATCTCTGCACACAATGTTCCTTCAAATGCAGAGTTGTTCAACATCAGGAAATCAGTTGAATTCTTGTTTTCTATGTTTCCAAGCAGACAGGAGTTGAGCATCAGATGACTTTCTGCTTCCATCCTATTTTGCATTCACAAAAAAGGCAGTTTTGATGTTGGAGTTCATTTATGATGCTGGTAATGGTTTTGGCAATTGCACAGGAAACAGATGTTGAATACTGAGGGCAGTAAGAAGTTGGTTATGGCCTCATCCTTTCCCCACAGAACCTGATATGAATGGCCTCAGATTAATCTTTTTAGAAATAAATACTGCTACTAGTCTACTCATAGTGTCTGATTATTGACTTTTTTTTACTTCAGTAAGACCATTTAAGCTACAATGATGTTTTTATATGAGATTTTAGAATAAAATATTGTCCAGCATATTTAATGAAGTAATTTTCTGTGATCAGTTCACATTTGTTGTGTTGTCAGTCTTATCTCTGAATTTTAAGATCCAGCCCATACATGTGAATGTGTGAAAGCAAAGAAAGGATTTATGTGCCATAGGTGCAGTTACTTATCAGTTGGGCAAGCCTAAACACTGCTTGAATTGTCTGAAACATTCACAAAAAGCATCTAAACTTTAGCAAGTAATCATCTTTTTTCTTTGCTTTTCTTTTTTCTTTGCTTTTTTTGCTTTTATTTATTCTATTTTTATTTTTTCTTTGTCCTTTCGCTGTTTTTTTTGACTTTTTTTGAGTTAAACTCAAACTTTGTGTTTGCATTACCTACAGCTATGGTCACTTGTAAGATGAGAGACCTAAGCGCACAGATCACTTTGTGCATCTAGACAGAAATCGCATTCAAGCTCAAACCTTACATGAGATGTGAGTGAGGATTCACCAATCCGCCATCCCTCCAAGATCATCTTCTCTTTCAGTGACAAATGAAATGTGCATCTGTCTGTTCCCAGCTGACGTTTGGCTGTGTGTAGCCACTTAAACCAGGTTAAGACAATGTGTAAGACTGGTATAGCCATACTGGACTAAGGCTATATGTGATGCAGGGCTGGGACCCTGTAGTTATTTCAAACATTTTTAGCATATCTAGATTTTCACCAGAGCACTCCTGTACTCAATTTTCATTTTTAAGGTTTTTTGCTCCAGTTTTCCTCAGATTTTCAGTAACAATCTTGCCAAATATAATTTGAACAGATTTTGCAATGTGAATTTCATGTTATGTCAAAAGTAAAACTATAAATTGGGTCAAAATTTACATCAGATTCAGCATAGACCCTGCCATAGCATCATAATACCAGGAACATTTTTTTTTACATGTTTTCGTGCTTTTCAGGATTGGAACATTTTATAAAACTTTATAAAAACTTTTAATATTTTCTTTAGAACATTTAGCATAGCTCTAATCTCAGGCCATCACACACACGCTGTTTTGTATAAATAAAATTGTGAGAATCTTTGTACATTGTGCTAACAACATTACGTGCCATTTTAAGTGTAACCACACCAGTCACCTCTGTTTCAAGCAGGATTTCACAGCAGACAGCTAACTCGTCCGGCAGAGTGGCAGAATGACAGCAGCAGTGGGTGGCACATCTTCACAGTATTCCCAGTATTGTTAATGCTCTCAGGCTGCAAAAGTTCATGGAAACTGGGGGAAGCTTTTACATTTCCCTACCATAGACAAAGACATTGGCCTGAAGAGTAGTGTTGGAGAAACCCTGACAGTGCTACAGGGATAGCTTGCATCAAAGCTAATTCTAGTTCTCTTTTTCCCACAAGTATCTTTGCTTCCCAGACATCTAAAACTTGCTGAATAGTCCTGATGTTTGTTCAGTAAGTCTGTATAGCAATTTGAAATTGTTACTTATGTTTTTACTAAGGGATCAGCAAAATTTATTGCTGTACTGCGCTACCCTTTATAACTCTCCCCTATGTGTTTTTTAAAGAAGTGTCCATACTCACAGTTTATCACTATGCAAAACTCCATTTCAATGTGATGAGACCTTTTCTCTGCCAGCCAAGCCTATTTGTGCCATACAAGTTTCAATTCATGTCCTCCTGTCCCCTGACAATTAGTATTGTAGATAAATTTGCCCTAAAAATCTTTCTTGAAGTTTGTGTTAACTTCTTCACTGGCTTCCTTCAACCATTTTGTTGCCCACCTTAATGGGTTACTCTGTTAGTAAAGAAAGGCATTAGGATATGGTTTGTTGGTAGTTTAGAATAAATGTTGTTGTGGCTTGCACAATTAGATGTGGTTCAGCAAGTTCTTTCCCAATAGTTACTCAGGAGGTGGCTTTCAGAGTTGCTTGTTATAGCTGGTACATGCTCTTGTTGGATGCTTATCATGTTCAAAGAAAGCTGGTTTCTTTTTTCTGTAGAAAATTTACTTTGGTAGTACTTGAGGTCTACTAAAATAAACAGCAAACATTACAATTCCAGGAGTTTTGCTGGTAAAACTGCTTAGATTAATAGCTGCTTAGATTAGTAAGTTTAAAAGACAGCTGAAATGAAGACTACAGTGAAGACTAATATCTGGGTTCTGGGTTAGGTTCGGTGGTGTGTTCAGTCACTGAAGTGGACAGTGCAAGCATTAATAGTAATTATGCGCTCATGTGTTCACTCCAGTTCAATGGATTTGGACAGCGTGTTCTCAGTAAACACTTACGGGATCTTGCCTGTGCCCAGCTTGGGAAGCGGTTTCTCCTCCTCTCCCAGTCTTATTGAGCTTGGACCAGGAATTTGATTGCGTTTCTTGCTGCGCTCAGGAGCGGTTGGTACTCTTTTGAAAGCACATGGCTGGTTGCAGACGCAGCTGGAACTGGCTACTGAGATGGGCAGCAAGCTGAGAGATAAGCCACTGAATCTGTGTGTGTTGGTTCCAAAGAAGACAGCAAAAGACAAGAAAGATGCTGTTAGCAAGGCCAATCAACCCTTAGGAGATTAATTGGATCCACTGGAACGTATTTATCTGTGTTGGACTGCGTGGAAGGGTGTTGAACAGGATAAATTTCTGACTGCATTTCAATATTTCCAGTGACAGCTCTGAGTGTGAGCACGGCCTTGCAGTCGAGCGTGGTTAAGACATTGCACTGGTGGTTGAGATGGCTGAAACGTGTGAAGCAGTGCTGGGCTCTGAGAGCTGTTAAAGGGCTGTGCACCTCAAGACTTCAGAGCTAGTTGGGGGAAAAGAAGAACTCTTCCGCCTTCAGTAATGCTTCTTGGATCTTTACTATAAAACAGGGAAATGATCTCATCTTTCAGTGGACACTTCATATATCTTGTATATTTGATCAGAAGTTGTTCTGTTTTGAGATAAAGCATTTACCAAGTTTTTTTTGTTTTCTCTGACTGCCCTGGTCCGAGATTGGATGTGCAAGCTCAAAAAAGGTTGAGGAGGGAACTATTCTCAGCAGTCTTACAGTACATGTCTCTGCAAAGCTTTTGAGTACATAAAAGTAGCACTGAGACCAATCACCCATCTCTGGAATTTTTCCGTATCTGGGAAAAAGCAGTATAGATCATTACAGACAGTAGAGTCACAATACATTTGGTCATGATGTGTTAATCCAGTGACGCATCTCATCTTTGAGAAGAGTCAAGTTACAGCATTGCTGTCTTACAGTGGTTGCAGCCGCTGTCCACTTGGTATCTGAAGGTTGCATCCAGCCGGTCAGCTTGCTTTGGTCTGCAGGATTTGGGGACTACACCTGAGGTTGTCTGTGCTGCTAAGCTGTGAGTGTGCAGCCTGGCTTAGCATGGGATGGGGCAAGAGAGGAAGTTCTGTGCCAGCCTCACTGAGCAAGTTGGGTTTAGGACTGGGGAACCCAATGCATGTTATTCACTACTGTGGACATGATCATTTAATCCTGAAAAAGTCCCAATCCCAACATCCTGATCCAGTAAGCCCCTTAGGTAACAGGACATCACCATTCAGCTCATTTTCATTTCCCAGAAATGCTTGCAAGCTTAGCAGAAGGGAAAGCTGCATAAGAAGAGAGTGGGAGAACTGAACACTCACACTCAGAAAAATATGCTGAAAATGTGTCCATAAACTCCATGACCTTTCACCACACCCTGAGCACATCAGGGCTATGCACATCCCAGATCTACGAGTCCTTCCTGAACCCATGGTGTTTTGTGTCACTGAGCGGGGAAGATGTGCACATAGGGCTAAGAGTTTGGCAAAAGGAAAGGCTGATTAAGCTATTCCACACCCCCAGTTCCAGAGCAGATTTCCAAATCTCTGAATACCCTGTTAATTAATAGGAACGGCACTGGGTAGTCGTCTTTCAAAACAAGCATCCTGACATTCCATATATATCTTTGTTGGTTTTAATTGTTTGTGCTGAAAATAACAAGATTTTTTTCCATTTTTCGGTTTTGAATTCTTGTTTCAAGAAGCACTTGAGGTACCCATTGGATCAGATCCAATATATTTGT